ATCAGCCAGCCTTGCTCTGCCCCACAGGCATCCCATGAGCCCCTCTGAACCACACATCGTAGACAATGTAAGGCACAGAGGATCAACAAACACCCAGGTGTGCCGTACGGACTCCCACCCTGCACACCCGCCTCTGCTCCCTGCCCCTCACCTTCCTCTCGGTCCTGCTGCAGCAGCCTCAGCTCATCCCTGCCCTCAGTCTCCACGTGGATCCGCTGCATGCGTTCCCGGAGGGAATCCAGCTCCATGCAGGAGTCCAGGGACTGCAGACACAGGCCTGGGGGTGAGGCAGTGTCCCAGCAGCACCCCCCATGCCCTGCACACCCACCCGGGGGCTCACCCGCTTGCGGTTGATCCGCAGCAGCTCCTGGCTGTAGCTGTTGCCGGCGGTGGCCTCGCAGAAGCACTGGTTCCCGAGTGACAGTGGCTTCAGCGAGCCTCGGCCCCCCAGCCCCTCGTCCTGCTCGCAGCCACAGCCAAAGACAAAGCTGGCGAGAGCGTGGCAGTGTGCCAGGAGGACGACGGCGTGCACCAGCTCTGCCAGCGACCAGCTCCACTCGCTGATCTTCAGCAGCTTCTGCAGAACATGGACAGAGCAGCAATGTGACACATGGGCAGGGTGCTGGCAGCCCCTGGGGACGCTGCTGTCCCCACTGCCATCCTGGTCCCGGCTGACAGCCCTTCCCAGTACCTCAATGTGCTCCTTGGTGATGAGCCACGGCCGGTGTGCCAGGATCTTGTTGATCTCGTTGAGGTTGCGGAGTTTGGGGGGGATGAATTCGAGGCCGCGCAGCCACTGGGGGTCCCCCCCTGCCCGCAGGAACTGCAGCACGTGCAGGTTCACCAGGTACCGGCACTGGTGCCGGGCCGCTGCCTGCAAGAGCAGCACATCAGCACCCGTGCACTGCCCTGCAGGACAGGCATCCCACACCCACCTCTCGCCCAACCTCCAGGACATCATGATTTTGGCCCCTGATGAGATGCCCGCAGCACAGGCTATCTGCTGGAGGCTAAGGAGAGCCCCACAGGGCTGAGCAGAGCCCCCCGTCCCCTCTGGCAGCTCCCAGCAGGGCTCACCATGATGGCAATGTAGTGCCTGCAGTCGAAGGGCAGAGGGCCATCCATGTGCATCAGGTAGTGCTGTGTCTTGAGGAAGCTGTCCAGGTACTGTGGGTGGTAGCCCATCTGCTGGGTCACCGCCTCCAGCCGCCCTCGGCTTGCCAGCACCTTCACAAAGAGGAACTGGGGGCACTCAGGGTCGCTGCTGGACATCTTCACTACCTGCAGGAAACACGCTCTGCTTAGCTCTTCCCAGAGCAGCCCCTGCTGCAGCAGCATGCCCCAGCTAAGCCCAGGCTCTGCAAGAGGCAGAGATCCCTCTCCCAGCTTGGTGCTGCCAGAGGGACACTCACAGCCACTTCCAGGCAGAGCACTGCTCAGTGACACAGGTAGCAAGACACACAGGTTGGTCTGTCTGGGAGAAGGCTCTGTGTGGTGAATGGAAGCAAAGGGCAAACCAGGAATGATGTTCCTTGTAGTGGTGCAAGGCCAGATCAGGAGAAACACAACACAAAATACATTGCAGAATGGAGCAGCCCATCAGCCAGCACAGAGCCCTCCTGCCCAGTACCAAGATGTGAGAGAGCTGTGGAAACAGCAGAGGGGCTCCCAGGCTTCTGCCCTGGCATGCCAAGAGGCAAACCATGTCCTAGTGTCATCCATGTGATCAGGAGCACGCAGAAGAACTCCCCACGTGTTGCCCAAGCAGACAGCATGGGAGTGGGTCCTGCAGCACAGAGCTGCCCACCAGAGAAAGCACAGATGGGCAGCTCGGCAAGGGGGCCCGACACCCCCAGCAATGCCCACGCCAGCCTTGCACCAGGGGCCCAGTCCAGCCCAGCTCCAGCCCCTCCTGAGGGTGGTGGGAACAGAGGGCAGGGATGTTGGAAAGATGCCCAGGCAGCTGCCGTGCTCCAACGACCGTGTTGCCACAATTCCCAGCCGACAGCATGGTGTGCACCTGCAGCCTGCCCAGCCCGAGCCACGGGCACAGCAGGTGCTACCCTTGTCACACAGGAAGTCACAGCTCCTGCTCGCATGTGGGAGCCCGGGCAGCACCCTTGGATGCAAAGGATGCATCTCGTCTCCCAGGCTTGGACTGAAATCTCTCCTGGGAAATTCTGGCCCTGCTGACACCATTGTCTTGTTCCTTCCACCTGTCTCTCCAGTGTGGTTAGCCAAAAGCTGGTGACTGGAGCATGGCAACAGTAGTGGCATAGGAGAAAACCAGGAGCACTTCTGCAAACCACCAAAACCTGGCAGAGCACCCAGGGGTGAGGGGCAGACAGAGCAGGGTGAGCTGTGTGGCAGCACAGAGCAGTTGCACCCACACAGGCAGTGCAGGAAGCAGCTCAGGCTATTTTCCACCATCCTGCACTTCTGGTGAAAACACCATCGCTCAAGTGTCAAGACGTTTACTTGACATTTAGAGTGTCCTCTTCACTTCCTCTGGTAAAAGGGGTCCACAAAACCCCAAAACTCATATTAAAATGGAAAGATGAAAAGCACCAGTTTCTCTGATCGGCAGGAGAAGATGAAAGCCCCCTACAAAGTCCCTCTGCCTGGGGAAGTGAGATGCTGAGGACACCCAAGGGCTCCAGCCACTGGTATTCTGCTGTATACCTGAGGTGGAGCAGCCAAGGGCCCTTCCATTCCTCCAGGGAAAGGTGGTCCCCAGTAAGGAGCTGTGCAACCATGGCTCAGCCCTTGGTGCTGCCAGCTCTCCTCACCCCGCTTGTCCAGGTGATGATGGAGCAAGCAACCGGCAGATCTGCCCTGGAAGGAGATGATGAAGGAAGGGGGGGATGAAGGTGCAGAACAGCCACCTCCTCGGCTCTCAGCCCCTGGCCAGGCTGAACTGCCCACTCCCAAAGGCACCAGCTCAGCCCAGGGTGTCTCCTACCGGCACCGCCTGCCACATTCCCTCAGTTCTGCCCCTCCAGCCTCTCGCCTTGGCCCCAGTGCCACCTTCCTCATCCTCCTCGACCACAGCCCTCCTCCTCCTCCCGGAGTGCATCCACTCGCACTGCCGGGCTGTGGGAGCATCGCGTCCCTCCCCAGGGGAACCTTCCTGTGTCCGAGCCCCCTGAACTGCCAACAGGCACCTCAGCTGCGTACCCAGCACCAACCGCGTCCCCTCCCCGCCCGGCGACCCCCGGGGCAGCGGTGCCCGGCGCTCCCGGCCGGCAGCCGCCAGCACATAAAGAACTCAGGAGGGTGAAGGAGCCCGGACAGCGCCGGGATGTGCGGGAGAGGGGCCGGCGGAACCCTCCGCCTCCCCGCCCGCCCGGGGCTCATCCTTTCGCCCGGCGAGACCGCGGCTCCGTCGGTACCGGTGCCTCCTCCGGTAACGTTGGCTGCAGACGGTGCCGCGGCAGCACCTCTCGCCCGGCCCTTGTGCCTGGGTACTGGAGAGCACGGGGGCAGTACGGGTGCCCGCGGCAGGGCTCCGTACGGCGGTGCCGGCGGCCGGTACCCGGGGCCGGTACCCGGAGCCCATTGTGCGGGCGGCGGCGGCGGCAGCGCCCCCGGTGAGCGGCGCGGGCAGTGCAGGCGGAGAGAGAAAAACAAGTTTGATTGGCAGTGATGGAGCCACGGCGCCTCCCGCATCCCGCACAAAGGGGACGGGGACGCCACCGCCGCACCGGCACCGCACCCGGGAGCAGGACCAGGACCAGGACCAGGACCGGGGCGCCGGGGGCGGCACCGTGAGAGCACAGCCCCGCCGGCCCCGCGCACCGCCCGCGGGCAGCGCGAATGCCCCGGCCTGCTGCTGCCGTAGCCGTGCCGGCCCGGTGGCGGCGAGCAGGGCGAAGCCCGGTGCTCCCGTACGGGCTCCGGTGGTGGCGGCGGGGCGGGTCCTACCTGCCCCGGCAGCCGCTGGCATCGGCTTCCTCGGGGGTGCTCCACGCTCTGGGGACACACGATCATGGTGAGCCCGTGCCGTGCCGTGCGGGCCCGGTGTGCCAGGGCCCGCTGTGCCAGGGCCCGGTGTGCCAGAGCCCGGCGTGCCAGGGCCCACTGTGCCAGGGCCCGGTGTGCCAGGGCCCGCTGTGCCAGGGCCCGGTGTGCCAGAGCCCGGCGTGCCAGGGCCCACTGTGCCAGGGCCCGGTGTGCCAGGGCCCGCTGTGCCAGGGCCCGGTGTGCCAGAGCCCGGCGTGCCAGGGCCCACTGTGCCAGGGCCCGGTGTGCCAGGGCCCGCTGTGCCAGGGCCCGGTGTGCCAGAGCCCGGCGTGCCAGGGCCCACTGTGCCAGGGCCCGGTGTGCCAGGGCCCGCTGTGCCAGGGCCCGGTGTGCCAGAGCCCGGCGTGCCAGGGCCCACTGTGCCAGGGCCCGGTGTGCCAGGGCCCGCTGTGCCAGGGCCCGGTGTGCCAGAGCCCGGCGTGCCAGGGCCCACTGTGCCAGGGCCCGGTGTGCCAGGGCCCGCTGTGCCAGGGCCCGGTGTGCCAGAGCCCGGTGTGCCAGAGCCCGGTGTGCCAGGGCCCGGTGTGCCAGGGCCCGCTGTGCCAGGGCCCGGTGTGCCAGAGCCCGGCGTGCCAGGGCCCACTGTGCCAGGGCCCGGTGTGCCAGGGCCGGGCCCGGTGTGCCAGGGCCCGGTGTGCCAGGGCCTGGAGTGGCAGGGCCCGGTGTGCCAGAGCCCGGTGTGCCAGGGCCCGGCTGTCCAAGGGTCCGGTGTGCCAGGGCCCGGCTGTCCGAGAGCCCGGCTGTGTCAGGGCCCGGCTGTCTGAGGGCCTGGCTGTGCCAGCATCTGGCTGTGCCACAGCCCGGCCGTGCCAGGGCCTGGCTGTCTGAGGGCCCGGCTGTGCCAGGGCCCGGCTGTCCCAGGGTCTGGCTGTGCCAGGTCCCAGTTGTGCCAGGGCCCGGCTGTGTCAGGGTCCAGCTCTCCCAGGGCCCAGCCGAGGGTCCCACTCCTCCCCCAAGCAAGCAGTGACAGGATGGGAGGGTGTGCTCTTATGTGCCTCTGCCAGGGAAGGTTGAGGTTGGACATCAGGAGGAATTTCTTCCCAGAAAGGGTGGTCAGACCTTGGATTAGACTGCTCAGGTAGGTGGGGGAGGCACTGCCCTTGGAGGTGTTTAAGGAAAAGACTGGAGGTGGCACTCAGTGCTGTGGTCTGGGTGACATGGTGGTGTTTGGACAGAGGTTGGACTCAATGTTCTCCAACATCTTCTCCAACATAGCTGAATCTGGGATTCTGTAAGAGCAGCTGCAGTCAGTGTTGGCCAGAAAGGTCTGCTCATCTGCAGGGACAGCGGCAGTGGCTGAGGGCTGCAGGTGGCCCCAGAAGTGGTTGGAGAGCCCAGAGCAGAGCCCATTGCCCAGTGAGGCCATAGCACATCGCCCGAGGGTGCAGGAGCCCTGTGAGACTGCCAGGAGGGGACTCACCCGTGTGCTTGGTGTTGATGATGAACACGGTGCCACTGTGAGCCTGGGACAGCAGGGCTGGCCCCTGCCTCACTGTGTGTGAGAGGTCAGAGGTGCTCAGGAGCTGGGGCTCCACTGGTGCTTTCCCCAGACCCTTCAGGACGAGCCTGGGCAAACCCCTGGTGGCAGAGCTTTAGTGCCACTGGAAACTGGGGACATGGGAAGGAGCAGGGAGGCCTGGGGGAACTGCCAGGATGACAGTGGCTTGCTCTCTGAGCCAGCACAGCAGGACACAGGAACAACCACAAAACCATGGATGAAAGGCAAAGAGGAAATTTATTTTCATTACCTCACCAGCTGCAGGACCCCCCCCCAAGCAGCACATAAGCAGGGATGCAGGCACTGTGGATCTTGGTCCACCCTGGAGGATCACTGAACCTGCTGTTTTTGCCTGTTTATCAAGGATTTGTGCAGTTGTGGTTTACTACTGTGATTTGATCTTTCCCACAGCAGGCCAGGAATCTCAAGCATGTTAAATAAGGTGCCACTAAGTCTATCACAGGCCTGTGTTATCTAAACACACAAGTTCTACTTACTGGATACACGAAGCTAAACAACATGAGTATGGTATATGTGTTTTTCCTACATCAGCTGCAAGGCACTTGAGCATGTTTACAATCTTTCTTGCCTATCTTTCCTTATTTTTCCACACTTGGGCCCCCTGGGACTCCTCATCCTGTGTGTCCCCATCAGTTGGGTAGTGGCCCCTGCCTGCCCAGCTGCAGCTGCCCACTCAGCAGGACACATCCCTGGCTGTGCTTGTGGGCACCTCGGAGCAGGGAGGGCACTTGGCAGGAAGCAGGACTGGGATCCAGAGCATTTGGCAGAGGCATGGCAGGAGCAGGGCCTGAGGAGCAGTAAGGTTTGGGCAGCAAAGCTGTGGAGAATGGGGCATGCAGGGGTGCAGGAGCGTGTCACAGCCTCCCATAGCTGTTCTGGTAGGGGCTGTGCTCACTGGGGGCGGCTGGGGGCCCAGGCATTGGAGGTGGTGCGTGGTTGCTGCTGTCCCAGAGGGGCTCGTGGCTGTCCTTGGGTGGCAGCTCAGTCACATAGCAGATGTTCTCGCTGTAGTTGGGCTTGAAGCTTTCCACAACATCTTTGGGGACTCCAGTCCATTCCTCCAGGGAGCAGAGCAGGGTGAGAGGAGCCACCACCCAGCCCAGCCCCAACCCCACACAGCCGGGGTGAGCCCAGGGCAGGGCTGCCTGCACCACCTTACCTGGAAATTGCCGTTGTGGGTGATGAACAGCTCATCAAAATTCTTGCTGGGGTTGGGAATTCGGGGCATCAGGATGACCCATACCCTGTGCAGGAGAGGTGTGTTAGAGGGAAGAGCCCCAGTGCTGCTGCCCTTCTGCCCCAGGCAGCTCCCCACACTCACCTTTCCATGCGCACCAGCAGGATGACAAGGACCAGCAGCAGCACACAGGAGGCAATGGGCACCAAGACCGTGCGGATCCCAAACCAGTACAGCTGCTCCTCCACCGTGCCTGGAAAGAGCAGGGGTGACACTGATCCCCAGACAGCACACCACCATGGCAGTGGGGTGGGCCATGGCATTGCTCGTGGCAGGGCTCAGCTGGGAACAGAGCATGGAGAAGGGGCCTGTCCCCAGGCACTGCCATCCTATCACCATAACTAGCTGGTCACCCTGTCCTGGCCCAGCCATGCCCTCCAGAACAAAGAAGCCCCTGGCAAAAGTCAGCAGGTCCCACTGGTGGGGTGTGTTTTGCTTCCAGAAGTACAAAGGATGCTGCTGCCAGCACCCCACATGCCCAGATGGGTCTTGTCCCTACAGCTGCTGCCTCAGGCCATTCTCTCCTTGCTTGGCCATCTCTCGCCTGCTGAGCCCTACCATACTCCAGTCCATCCTGTCCCACTGCAGCCCTCAGAACATACCCTTGCTGGTGGAGTTGCTGCCCCAGATGACAGGAATGCTCCACTCGCTCCAGAACTGGGTTCTGCCACAGAATTTGTTGATTTTGCTGCGCACGTAGAAGGTGTAGGACTTCTCATAGTCCACGCTGGGCAAGGAGAAGACATCTCCATTCACCGAGAGCTCCTGCAGAGACATCAGCCCTGAGATACTGGCTGGGACCACCTTGGAGGCTGGTGCACAGCTCTCCCCCAGGCACAGCCACAAGGGTGCTGTGCCCAGGGCTCTCACCGTCCAGCTGGTGTCCTTGTTGCTCTTGTACTTGACAGCGTGCTCCAGGCACTTGTTTCTGGGGTACGGGGAGGCCCAGGTCAGCTGCAGCTGATTGTTGCTCATGTTGTGGATGGTCAGGTTGACAGGCGCCTCTGGTTTCACTGCAAGGGACAGGCAATGCCCACTGAGGGCTGGCCCCATGGCCAGGGCCCTGCTGCCAGCTGGGAGCTCACAGGGCAGCTCTGAGAACCCACAGCCCTGCAGAGGAGAGGGTCCCCACCACTCTGTACCCAGGTCCTGCAGCTCCATGCGCTCGCTGGGGATCTCCAGGGTCTTGCCACCGACGCTGGCATTGATGAGAACGTGGAAAGGCTGGAACTGGATGAGCTCGTCCTGCTTGAAGTGGCAGCCGACCCTGACACCCTGGTGGTGCAGGTAGTGCTTGCACTCCACCTCCTTGTCAGACGTGTTCTTGTACCTGTGCCACAGTGCGTTGCCAGGACTCCCCAAGGCCTCACATGCCCCAGCCCTCGCCAGGACCCCTCTCCCCAGCACATCCCACCCTGCTTGCTCTGGAGACAGAGCCTGCCCCACCCTGGGCTTGGGGAGGAGGAGAGGCCTGATGCCAGGACCAGCAATGCTGCACAGGGACCCACTGCTGGACACTGCTGTAGGACTGGCCATGGGACAGGGGCACCTACCAGTAGAAGAGGGAGTAGTTGACTGTGGGCATCTCTTTGTTCCCCCACGTGCAGTTCATGTACTCCTCATTGAAGAGGACACACATCACTCCTGCAAGCAACAGACACTGCTGGGCATGGCAGTGGTGGGTGGCTGTGCCAAGGCCCAGGGGTGCACTGGAGAGACATGGCACACACCAGATCCCTGTGTATCCCTATGAGCCTCCCTCTGTGTCAACCAAACAAACTCATCAGCCAGCACTGCAGGGGCAGGAGAAAGCAGAGTCGAGCTTTCCTGGGCTGTAATGTAACACAGTGGAGCAAACAGGCTGTTTCTACACCTGGAGATGGAGGGCACCTTGCTGCCAGCCCAGGAGGTCCAGGGATACAGAGGGGCTTTTTCCACAGTGTCGTGGGGACAGGACATTTTCATGCTTATTATCCCAAATCGTGGTTTCTGTTCCCTGCTCCGTTTGTTGTGTCTATCGTTTTTGTCCTTCCCCAACCTCTACCTTAGGGCTCGGCTTTTTGCATGCTGCATAGCCGGCTGGCTGCTTGCTTGCTCTTCTAGCTTTGCTTCTCTTTCCTTTTTTCTTGTTTTTTTTTTAGCTCGCTTGCTTTTTTTTTTCCTTTTTCGCTTTTTTTTCCCCCTCAGATATTTTTCCCCTAATTTGTCCTAAACCAAATCACACAGAGAGCTGTTGTTTTACTGACAGCCAGGCATTTTTTTTCAGAAAACAGCGGCTGGGATGAGAGTGTCAGGTGGAAAGAAACGCCTCTGTGTCCTGTCCCCTTCCTGTGCACAGCACTACTGAGGGGACCAGGAAGGAAAGGACAGCAGATCCACTGACCATCCTGGCCAGCACCCACACGTGGCACAGACCAATAGGATCTGCCAGGAGAGTGATGGGGCAGGAGCCCTGCAGGACTGGTAGTCAGGGGGCTAGTGGGGTCAGAAATGCTCCAGCACTGCAGTGGGCACAAGGACAGCCCAGCAGGGCTCCCTGGTACAGCCTGGCCCTCCTGGCAGTCCCACTGCAATGGGCCATGTACGTGCTGCAGCTCTGGGACACATCAGGGGTCGCAGGGTCCCTGGTGTGTGCCACAACAGCGCGCCAGCCCACACAGCCCCACATCCTGTCCTCGCCCGCCATCACTGGGGAGCTCCATTCCCCAGCCCCAACCACAAAAGGGGCCCGTGGCCTTCCCATGTGCCCCCTTACCTGGGTGGCTGTCGGCAGCGGCAGGGTAGGGACCCGGCCCACAGAGGAGGAGGAGGAGGACAGGCACGAGGAAGGTGCCGGGAGCCGCCATGGGGGCTGCTGACCGGGGACGCATGCGAACAGCCTCAGCCAGGGCTGCCGGCTTCCGCAGCACGCTGCTTCCTGCCCCACGCACCGCCTGCACCGGGCACCCTGCGTGCTGGGGCCCACTGCTCGCTCCAGGGGCCCCACAGCTCATCCCACTGGGATCCACAGCTCATCCCACTGGGATCCCACAGCTCATCCCACTGGGATCCCACAGCTCATCCCACTGGGATCCGACAGCTCATCCCACTGGGACCCCACAGCTCATCCCACTAGGATCCACAGGTCATCCCACTGCAACCCCATAGTTCATCCCACTGGGACTCCATGGTTCATCCCACTAGGATACCACAGCTAACCCACTGGGACCCCAGCGCATTCCACTGGCTCGTCCCACCGGGACAATGTCACCGTCCCTGCTCAGTTCCCACTCCTCATACCTCCTGGACCCCCATTTCATCCTGCCGGGTTCCCATGGCTCATCTGTGGGGCTGGCCGCCACTGGGCTGCCCCAGGAGCATGGCTGGGATGGGGATCCCAGCGCCAGCCCGCCCGGATCCCTGGGAGCACCACCGGGAGGCACCGAGGCAGTGGGAGGGGGCGCTGCAGTTGAGTCGCGGCGGGCTCGGTGTGTGTGGCAGCGCGGCCGTGTCGCGGGCTGTGCCGGCGCGGTGCCGGTGCCCGGGGTGCCGGTGCCCGGGTCCCGGGGTGCCCCGGCATCGGGAACGGGACTGAGGGGCGGGGTCACGTGATCCTGTCGTCTCCGCCGGGGGGCGCGCGCGCGCCCCTCGGGCTGCCCCGTCCCTCTTCGACACTTTTCGGCTCCGCTCGGAGCGGGCTCGGGCCGTTCCGGCACTGCTCGGGACTCTCCTGCAGCGCTCAGCGCTTTTTGGCCTCGCCCGTCCCTGCTTCGGGGACGCTCGGCTCTCTCCGTTCACTCTCGGATCTCTCCGGCTGCGCTCGGTGCTCTTCGTCTTTCCTCGGTCCAGTCACAGCAGCACTCGGATCTCTCCGTCAATTTTCGGCATTCTTCGGCGACGCTCGGGATTCTCCGTGCTCCTTCGGCCCGGCTTCGGCGGCGCCCACCTGCCCCGGCGCAGCGCTCAGCGCGCAGGCGCGGGCGGCCCCGGCGGCCCTTGTTGTGGCCCGGCCGCCCCCGCCCGGCCGGCCCGCCATGGCGGCCTTCGGCGTCCTCAGCTACGAGCACCGCCCGCTCAAGCGCCCGCGCCTCGGCCCGCCCGACGTGTACCCGCAGGACCCCAAGCAGAAGGAGGTGCGGGGGCCGCGCGGGCTGGGGGGAGCCGGGGTGCAGCACCGCTGTGCCGGGGCCGGAGCTGAGGAGGCGGCGGGTTAGCGGCGCGAGGGCCGGGGCTGGGCTGGGGGCGCCGGGACCCCGCGCTGGGGGCGCTGGCCCGGCCGGGGAGCCGCGGTGCCCGTGCCCGGCACTGCCCTGGGCGGTGCCGCTAGCGAGGGCTGGGGGAGGTCGGAGGAGCGGCCGGGCCTCGGCTGGCTCAGCCCCGCCGTGGGGACAGGCTGCGGCGGGGGGCGCGGAGGGGCCGGGCCGGGCCCTGCTCACCCTCCTTCCCCGCAGGATGAGCTGACTGCGCTGAATGTCAAGCAAGGCTTCAACAACCAACCGGCGGTCTCTGGGGACGAGCACGGCAGTGCCAAAAATGTCAATTTCAACCCGGCGAAGGTGAGAGACGTCCCGACGGTCGAGGACGGGTTTAGCAGGACAGGTCCTTGCACAGTCCTGGGTCTCATTCCTTCCCTGTGTCGACAACTAGGAGGTCTTTCCCTTTTGTATGGGTGTTTTTAAGACTTGACCCTCCGTTTGTGTAGAATCCAAGCTATGCACTCGTTTAGAACTGTGTCCCACCTCTGAGAGGGCAGGCTCTTGTCTGGCTCAGTGCATCTTTGGGCAGGTCTATGTCTGCAGTCTTCATTAAGCCAGCATCTAGGACTCTTTAAATTCTGCAATTAAAGCACAAGGCTTGATTGTAGGAGAGAGAAACTCCTTATTGATTTGGTTACATGATGGCCATAGTAAAAGGAAAGTATGATTTTGTGAAACATCTGGAAGTTTAAAAATGGGAGTTATATAATAGGCTTCAACTCCATTTTTGCAGTCTCCGAAATCAAGATGTTGACTTCCTGACAAAACAACTAGTAATGGCCTGGGTTGGAAGGCAATCAATAAGCACAGGATATTTGTTTTCCTTGGCTGACTTCTGTCTGAGGAGCCCTCTGTCTGGTTTGACAAGTATTTTTAAAGGGTTGTGTCCATCTCAACTTGAGTCCCTGCTTGATTATTGTCTAGACACATTCATCTCTGCAAGTATAACAAAGGAGTTATTGGCAGTTACTTTGTGTTTCAAAAGTTGATACTGGTGAGACTTCTGGTAGGAATGATAAATGATTATTTAAGCACACTGATCACATCTTTGATCTCTGAAATGTAATAAATCCTTTTCTTTTCCCTTCTCCTCCAGATCAGCTCAAATTTTAGCAGTATTATTGCAGAAAAGCTACGGTGCAACACCCTGCCCGACACGGGGAGACGGAAACCCCAGGTCAATCAGAAGGATAACTTCTGGCTGGTAACAGCACGTTCTCAGAGTGCCATAAACAACTGGTTCACAGATCTGGCTGGAACTAAGCCCCTCACTCATCTTGCTAAGAAGGTATGTTACAGGAGAGGCAGCCTGGCAGGGCAGAGAATTTAATCTGTGCTTGTTTCTGGAGGGCTTTACTGTTTGGAGAAGTTCCTCATCTGTACATCTTGTGAAGCTTTCAGCTTGAAATGTGGATGTAGGATTTGTAGTGCCCTGACTGTAGTCATCCACACTTTGAGATCTGTTCTCTTGGCTGTTATTTTGAGGTGTTTAGCTTTGCCTTTTGACTTGTAGGACATGACTGATTTATTTTAAGGTTCCGTTGTTTTTCGAAGAGCTGCCACTGTTGCCTTTGCTCTGTTGTTTAGATTAGTTAATTTCTGTTGTGGAGGGTTTCTCAAGTTCTCAAAAGTCATAGTGGGAATTACTGAAAATAATCACTTAAATGACTTCTCTTGCAGTGAGGTGTTTCTGTTTTTCAGCAGAGGGGATCACATGTGCTATCACTTGGTCTTGGCCAGGCTGTGAATTCTGTAGAGTATGAAAGAAGGGTCTTACTCTGGCATTTTATCAGGCCTGATAGCAAGGGAGATGGCTCTCTGTCAGGGGAGAACTACAAATGAGATACTTGTGAATCTGGTATGCACTGTGAAACAAACATAACTCCCAGTTGCAAAATGGTCTGAGTCATTCCTGGGGGGAAAATTAAAGTAATCAGTTTTTCCCAGAATCTGACTCTTTATAAACTTAGTCCTTCTTTGTGTTTTGACTGTCAGTTTCCTGAGGTCATAGTGAAAGCTTGAACCTTTCAAGTTTTTCCCTGTTTTCCTGCTATGAGCTCCATCCATTTTCATGAACTAGATGTGAGAGAGCGACTGTCAGTAGCCAAGTAGTCTGACTGTGAGGCATCAGAGAGTAATTGGGAAGAATGTAGGAAACGTAGCAGGTTAATGAACACCAGTAGTTCAGGGGCTTGAAGGTGCCAAATGGACCTGTTTTTTGTGATTTTTTTTCATTCCTCTGTGAAAACACACATACTTTTGCTCTCCAGAGTATTGTGTGGAAATGAGCTCCACAGCTGTACCTTTCCCTGTGATGTGTTATTGCTTCCTGGTTTATAGTCCTGCAGCCTGGTTATTTCATTGGTATCCTCTTATGTTGTATCTTGAATTTTAAATCTTGGATTAATGAATTCCTTCCTACTTTGTACTCAGTTCCCTGTTTCTCCCCGTGTTCTGTTGAGTATTCATGATATTGTGAGACTTCTGTAACCACTGGGTTTTGTATACAAAGTGAAGAGTCCTGTCTTCAGGTTGCATGGCAGATACTCTGTTACTGACTCAGTCCTTGGTCTGTATCTTTGGTATTTCTTTATGTGCTCTCTGGAGGATAACCTCCAGGATGTTTGCAGGATTCAGGGCATGGATTTACAGTGACGTAATTATATGTTCTGTCTTCTTTCAGTTTGTTTTATTTCTGTTTGTACTGAAATGCAGCTTTGGTACTGTTGCTTTCTGACCACAAGTGAATTTTGGCAGCAGGTTTTTTTGAGGTAGAGGTACTGTGTTGCTCTGTTCTCTTTTTACCTTTTCATACCTGCAGCAGGTAGAGCTGCTTTAGCTGCTTCCCTTCTTATTCCAAGTGCTTGGTTCAGTTTTCCCTCTCCATTTCATGACAGGTGCCCATCTTTAGCAAGAAGGAAGAGGTCTTTGGTTATTTGGCAAAATACACTGTTCCAGTAATGAGAGCAGCGTGGCTCATCAAAATGACTTGTGCCTATTATGCTGCCATCACAGAAACCAAGGTGAAAAAGCGTCATGTCATTGATCCCTTCATTGGTAAGCACTCTGTGTGCAGCACTGCCTTTGTCCATCACACCTGTTTCCTTCTAAGCCTGCTCTTGATTAGTAAGAGGTAAATCCAAATAAACTTCTTTCCTGCTGATAAGTGCTCGCGTTCTGATGTGAGTAGCTGTCTGAACAACAGGCTCACCTGTGAAAGTACACTGAAAAATAAGTCTTAGCAGCCATAAATACTTCCTGGGAGCCTTACTTTTCTTTCACCCTGTTAAGTTCTACTGAGCTCCTTTGCTGCCTTACCTGTGTTTTTCTTACCATACAAAGATTGTAAAGTTGCAATTTAGTGATGACTGATTAGCTACTCCCCAAGTGAGTATGTACTTTTCCTAGAGAATTTTGGTATGTTACTCCCTGTCTGTGTTCCCAATGTCATTAAACATTACTGGATCCAACATCCTTTGCATCCTGGCCTGCTCCAGGTTGCTGTGGTCTAGAAGAGTTCCCCTCTGTTCTGTTTCTTTGGCTTTCTGCCTATGCACCATCCTGGTTCTTTCCTCTTTGCCACAGTGCTCATTGCTAACCTCTTTTCTCCAGAATGGACACAGATCATCACCAAGTACCTGTCAGAGCAGCTGCAGAAAATTGCAGAGTTCTACAGACAGCTCCCAGGGCCAGGCTGTGGTTCACCATCGGGACCAATGCCCCAAGAGGTGGAACAGGCTTTGAAGCAGTGGGACTACAATGAGAAACTGGCTATGTTCATGTTCCAGGTGAGGGACTGGCGGGGCTGCTGGGTTGGTGTGAGCAGAGGAGGGCAGGGGGAGTGGATGCCAAGTGATTTGTTTCTGCAAGTTGCTCTCTTTCCTAGTGAATAGATCACTAGGACTAGATGCAGTTTTGAGCTCAGTAATAGGACAGGGGTAGCACGGAACTGCGAAAACTTCCAGAGCTATTTCCACTGTTGGAGTGCAAGCTGCTGCTGCTCTGTCTTGCCTTGGTGGAGTTTACTTCAACTTTCATCCATTTGTTCTGCTTTTATCTGTGTGCAGGATGGCATGTTGGACCGGCATGAATTCCTGACATGGGTCCTCGAGTGCTTTGAGAAGATACGGTCAGGAGAAGATGAATTTCTGAAAATGCTCCTTCCTTTGCTGCTACGGGTGAGAAATACACTCTCAGCTTGCTTTAGGAGAGTGCTGACTTCTGCTTTGGCCATCCCCTTCCTATTGCTTAAGGGGATAATGGGTTGTTTTGCACCAAGAGCACCAGGGAGTGTCCCTATAAACACCCTTGTTAGCTCATGCAAGGATGAGCTTTTTAGTCTTGCTCTTTTTTAGTCTTTATTCTCCTTTACCCTTTTTCCCTGCACCGGGTTTGGTAATCCCTGCCCATGCCACAGCTGCGATGGTTCCACTGATTGTGCACCAGTACATGGAAACTGCTTTTTTCTTTCTTTCTCTTGCAACAGATTCTGGGCAAACCTTTGAAGCTCTGGGAAGGCTGGGTGTGGGTACATTTTTATAGATTAAATCATTGCCAGAGAGCATTTAAAGGGTTTTTC